AGGGAAGAGCTAGGAAGCTAAACCTGAAGATCTCAGTCTGGATTCCCCCCTCAGCTCTCAGGGAAGAGCTAGGAACAAAATCCACGTCAGAGTCTCACTAACCAGAAGCTAGACGCTGCTGCTGAGCTCTCTGCTACCTCCACAATCTCTGGACCCAACCGGTTCCCCATCTCAAGGATCTGTCAGAACCACTTCAAGGTACATTCAGAAATTACTCACTCGTCAAACCATCTAACTTCTTGGCTAATCAAACTCTCATCCCTTCAGATATCTGTGAAACCAGTCCCGGACCTGTACCAGAACCAGTCCATATTACTCTGTGTGTTCCCTCTTTAATAAACTTTGTTAAATTTTCCTCTGTCTCCAGTTTGGTGTTCTGCATGTGGGTTGAGTCCTTTAAGCCCATCATGACAACTTTAATCTCAGAATTCTGATTTTCTTTTTCTCAGAATTTTGACTTTTTTCAGATTCCTGACTTCTTTTTTTCCTCAAAATTCTGACTTTAATCTCAGAATTCTGACTTTAATCTCAGAATTCTGACTTTAATTGCAGAATTCTGACTTTAATTGCAGAATTCTGACTTTTTTTCATCTCAGAATTCGGACTTTCCCCCCATATTTAACGGAAATAATATTTAAAAATCAGTTCACTTTTTTTTATTTTTCAGTGGCCCTAATCTTCTTGCCTAACATACCATTCAGAAAGGAGTACATTAAGAAGAAAAAAAAAAAAAGGGTTCCTCAAAAATTACGAACTGGTCCTTTTTCTCCAGTAGAGGGAGGACACCTGCCGCAATTTTATTTAATGACTCATGAAAGGGACTTTTACGACACGCACGTAAACGCAACGCCTTTCTCTTTCTCGGTTCCAGGTAATAGGAGGGGGCAGTCTTTGTAGGATCAGGAAGGAAGTTAAATTTACCACACAGACCGTCCCCGTACCCATAACTCACTGTTGCAGCGGCTAGCCACGATGCGGTTATTCATGCTCGTCACGTTTATCCTGTTCTCAGGTAAGTAAACATTCCCAGCTGGCTGATTATTCCCTCCATGGGTCCAGTCGATCCGCTCGGTCACTGTCCGCCGGATATTAGCGCGTCGCCTGTTTCTATCGCAGCCTACGCCCATTCTTTATTTTCTCCATTTTAATCACCCATTACATTAAACACAATAGATATATGCTTAAATATTATTGTAAAACGCATATCCTGGCGACAAGGTTAAAATGAAAATGATTTACATGTTGAATCCACGAAGGTGTTTAAACTAATTCGTCGATCGATGTCGTGATTCATTGCCATGTAATTACATATATGGGAAGTTTCTTTGTTTTTAGATAGATGCATGGCCATTCCGTGCTGCACTTCATTTTGTCTGGTTAAGAAACTATTTCTAATTGATTAATAAATACTAAGCATTACTATAGGGCTAATAATTTAAGTCAGAAAACCAAGGTTGTTTTTTTTTTTAATATTTTATCTCTGCAGCATTTTAACATAAGAGATGATCAAATGATCTAGCTGTAAAAGCAACAGCTAACATCTAAGGAATCTTAAACCAAGAGCCAGACCTAAAAAAAGAAATATTAAGAAGAAAGCATGATGTTAATCTATAAATAGCATGGTGTAAATCAGGGGTCTACAACTCCAGTCCCACAGAGCTGCTGTTCTGCAGTTTATAGCTGCATGCCTGCTGCAGCAAACCTGAATGAAATGAGTGACCTTTGCCTAACTGGATGGCATACTAAAGAGATATTTGCTCATTTGATTTGTATTTGAGCAGGGATGCACCTAAGAGTTGCAGGAGACCCCTGTGATATGCACCTCCCCCCCAATGGTATGATGCATATATGCACTAATGCATTGAAATAAAATAAAAATCAGAACTTTTCTCCGATGGGATCCTTAGGTTGTATGGCTTGAAACATGACAATCAAGAGCCTAATCTCCAACAGATGAGCCTGTTTGAAAACACGCACACAGCTGATCAACAAACTGGGTGTAGCATGTCTGAAATATGTGGAGCAGGCGCAAATGTATTATTTTTTGACATATGTGCCCACTTTATGAAACTCTAGATCTGCAACAAGCCTTGTAAGTATTGGGGGTGCAGTCTCTAAGTCTGTTTTTATCTCGTTTGATATATAATATATAATTATTATTTATAACCTGTGGAGATGAGCACTGAGTTTCCCCTAAAGAAGACCTTTGAACATCAACAGAGCATCTTCAGTTTAAGGTTTCTTTGGATGCTGCAAGACATATTTCTACCAAAGATCCTTCTTACCAATATTTATTAACATCTACAACAGCTTGTTTAAAAAATCTCTATGAGTAAAAATAACATTTAATTTCCCTTTCGTTTTAATTTAGTAGTTTGTAATTTAGTTATATTCTTATCATTACTAGCTCCCAACCCGTGGCTTAGAATGAAATTTCTTCTTTTTAATAGGGGGGGCTCAACTGGCTTTGCGTTTGTTATCATTTGCTCATTTAAACATGGTTCAACACCCATGACATGCCTACTTAGTGCATGTGCATTTATTTTTTTTTTGGCACAAACAATTCAATGCCTATTTTGAAATCTTTAAAGATCAGACCCCAAATTAAACATCAGCCTTTTCTCTAGCTGAGCTGCAGCTAAGTAGAAGACATTAGCTGTATTAACATAGGCATAGTTTGGACATAAAGGGCAGATTTAGGATAAATATGAACAACTGGCTGCTGCTGTTTTATGCTTTATGCGCCTCCAGATGACATTTAAAATAACAGACATCAACAGTTTCATTAGGGTTTAAAAGCAGTAGGACTTTTTAAAATTGTTCTCTTCACTTTCCAGAGCGGTAATACCACTCTATGCAATACCTTTATAAGAAATTTCATAATATTAAACCATCTGATATTGATTTGCACATAGCAGCATTTAGAAATAAATTATAATTTTGTCTGTACCATTCTATGTCATTATGTATGACTTAATACATGGACCCATTTCATCTCAAATATGGACTAGATCAGAGTATTAACATGTATGCTTTAAATGAATATGTGTGCTGTAAACATTTACCTAGTTTATCTCCTCTGTGTCCCTGTAGGAAAGTCTGCACATTCCTGTGAAATTAGGTTCAATCCTCCAAAGGTTTTTGTTAAATATGGAGGTTCTGCTGCAGCCAGCTGCTACATATCCCAGTGCAACGATATAGCCGGAATGGGATGGGAGTCTTCATTTGGAGGAACAGGACTTAAAGAGGGTATATCTACTTTGAATACTACCTTTGATAAAGTTACGGACTGGAATGTAGATCCCAAGTGTTTTGTTTCGTTTCTGAATGATGAACAGATCCCTAAAAAGCTACCATTCACCGTTTACAGTAAGTTGCTTTTATGACATTTACAAAAAAGCCAATCATACTCTATATTTATATTTCAGAATTAATTAATGAGTTTTCTAATTAGGTTTTTGTTTATCACTTTTTGCTTCAGAAATACCAGACAAAGTATCCATGCCTAAGCCCAAAGACCCTATGAGAGCCACTTATAGCTATGATCTACAATGTGATGTTAAAGATGTTGCACCAGCAAACAGTCTTGTCATAAGCTGGTACAAAGGAAACAAGATGTTCCATGAACAGAATTCTACACGTCAAGATCGTTCACCTGTCGATGAAACCTTTACCACAAAACTAAAGGTTGATGTAGAGGATAATGGAAAAGAGGTCTGGTGTGAAGCCAGGCTAAAGTTTGTTCCAGAAGGGCAAAGTCCTCCACTGAACCGATCAGAGATACACGTATTAAAAGTTTTTTGTACGTTTCAAATGTTCTCTTAATTTACACATTAACAGGAGTTGATTGTTTTTATTTCTTTATCCTACTGTTTCTTATTCGTAACTTCATTGTAATCATCAGACCCACCAGCATTCGCTGAGCCTCAAAACGAGACCCTGGAAAAAAACGCTGGTTCAAAAATATCTTTAAATGGCACGGCTGAAGGAAACCCTACCCCGATTTACAGCTGGCACTTTAAAGGCCCTACACAACCGGAGATCCAAATGGAAAATGAAACCGGGTCGATTTTGTCTCTGGAATTCAGAAATCCAGGACTCTACACCTGTAAAGCTTCTAATGTGGCGGGTACCACCACCAAATATTTCCAGGTTGACACACCTACAGGTAATACAATGCTTCAAAACCGAATGTATTTTCATGTCCTTCTCTGTTTTTGTCTGTAATTCTCTTTGCTGTTGTTCTCCATTAGGCGGTCAACCAGGAACCACTGCTGGGATTTTACTCATTGTATTATTTGTTGTAATCCTTACTTTGGGATGTGTGGTCTATCATAGACAAAGAAAGTCATCTGTTGAAAGAACATGATGGTCTGTCCAGAGAGTGAGAATGTAACAAAATTCCCATCTTCCACAGGGGATAGGACTACCTTTATAGCCATCCTGGTGGTATTTGTGGTCGTCGGAGTTCTGATTTTCATCGGCGGTATCTATATGGTGAAATCAACAGGAACATGCGCTTTACCAAAAGGCAACTATGAACCTACCTCATCCAATCCTAACTGATGCTGATTTTTGCATACTTAAATGTTGGATGGCTTTCCTTTAAAGCTCTCTCTCTAAGAAGATTTTTTTTTTTCACTTGGTGAAACATTAATTCTTCCAAGAACTGGGTGCTTTTATCTGTGGTGCATGATTAAGTTATCTTTGTTTGCACATGCTTGGGTGCTTTTGCTTTAAAAATGCTAAATTTGTGTTCTGTGGTTGAGCTCTCCAAATGATTGCCTCTGTATTAACAAACACTTCCTTTACCGGTTGCCATATGGGGTAAATGGGTTTCTCAACTTAAACAAGCCAAGGCTCAATGATCACATCTTTTTTTTTGGACATAGGTCCCTCTATGAGTTTTGAAAGTAACTTCTTTCATCAAATTCCTGCTGTTCTTAAAATCATTGACAGCATTTTATCATTTTAATTTTAGTGCTTACATTTGATCACTCTACTAACAGATATGGTGAAGTTTCCTTGATTTTGTTGCAATGATTGTGTTGTATTTGTGGGTTTTTTTTATTTATTTATTTATTTTTTTGAGTGGGCGGGTAGGGGGGATTTTTCGGGTTGGTTCTTATAGCCAATAAGGTTGTTCCACATTACCTTGCTTCTTTGTTTTGAGTTTCCTAAAACCTTCTTGTTTTTCAAGTCACTGTTTAGTTGGTTCAGGTTCCTTTTTTTGCGTTATTCCTTTTGCTTTGGTTAGCTGATTCTTTCTATCCTTGCTCAGCTTCTTTTCAGTTTGTGGTTAATAGTCAGCTACCCTGAGCTCCTCTGATTGTGTTCTCATTTTGACCCTCCCAGTTGTTAAAAGTCTATTATTTTGGTTTCCTGAATTTTCTGGCATCATTCCTGCCTATTTCCTGCTAGTCTTGCTGCTTTTCTGTTCCAAGTCAATGCTTTCCTTATGCATTGTCCTTTGTTTCTCATAGTCTTTCCTTTTTTGTAATTCCTACACTAAATGTGAGTCTACTGTTTTCCATGCGGGGTTGGACCGTACACTTACAGCAAACATATACATAATACTGTTTTGCTACTGTTAGACAGCTGAATTAAACAATTATTCATATCCTTAACAGATCCAAATTTTAAATGATTTTGAATATTCCAAAAACTAACTGAATCAAAAGGAGACAGTGTTTAATAGATAATGAAGTCATGTGATAAGGATAAGAATGAAAAACAAGTTTCTGCTTTTATTTGTAGATTTCAACTGTTTATAGTGATGAACTTTCTAGATGCTTTCTTTGGTATTTCAACTTTTTTTGTGATGGGCTCCAAGTCTTCAGATTCATGCAAAAACTGATCTGAAGGGATCAAAACTTCTTAAAATTAGTGTATTTGGTGTTTGAGCAGGTAGTAAGATGATCTGACAATGCAGAGTATTTTTGCCCTTAAAGTAAGATAATTAGATTTAATGCACATGAAATAAGATAATGGAGTAGTGTTTTTCTTAATTTAAATGTAAATTACCCTATTCCATTGACAGACATCAATACCTCCTGGAACAAGGGAAAATACACTTATTTTAAGAAAAAATGACTTTCCTACTGTATATACTTTGCAGTGTTGGAAAGTCTTCTTGACATCACGCTATTCTGTTAAAATCTTTTTAATGAACTCCACTTAATCTGCTGAGGGANTTCCTTTTGCTTTGGTTAGCTGATTCTTTCTATCCTTGCTCAGCTTCTTTTCAGTTTGTGGTTAATAGTCAGCTACCCTGAGCTCCTCTGATTGTGTTCTCATTTTGACCCTCCCAGTTGTTAAAAGTCTATTATTTTGGTTTCCTGAATTTTCTGGCATCATTCCTGCCTATTTCCCTCTAGTCTTGTTGCTTTTCTGTTCCAAGTCAATGCTTTCCTTATGCATTGTCCTTTGTTTCTCATAGTCTTTCCTTTTTTGTAATTCCTACACTAAATGTGAGTCTACTGTTTTCCATGCGGGGTTGGACCGTACACTTACAGCAAACATATACATAATACTGTTTTGCTACTGTTAGACAGCTGAATTAAACAATTATTCATATCCTTAACAGATCCAAATTTTAAATGATTTTGAATATTCCAAAAACTAACTGAATCAAAAGGAGACAGTGTTTAATAGATAATGAAGTCATGTGATAAGGATAAGAATGAAAAACAAGTTTCTGCTTTTATTTGTAGATTTCAACTGTTTATAGTGATGAACTTTCTAGATGCTTTCTTTGGTATTTCGACTTTTTTTGTGATGGGCTCCAAGTCTTCAGATTCATGCAAAAACTGATCTGAAGGGATCAAAACTTCTTAAAATTAGTGTATTTGGTGTTTGAGCAGGTAGTAAGATGATCTGACAATGCAGAGTATTTTTGCCCTTAAAGTAAGATAATTAGATTTAATGCACATGAAATAAGATAATGGAGTAGTGTTTTTCTTAATTTAAATGTAAATTACCCTATTCCATTGACAGACATCAATACCTCCTGGAACAAGGGAAAATACACTTATTTTAAGAAAAAATGACTTTCCTACTGTATATACTTTGCAGTGTTGGAAAGTCTTCTTGACATCACGCTATTCTGTTAAAATCTTTTTAATGAACTCCACTTAATCTGCTGAGGGAGTGATTATTCTTGCAGGAACTTAATGAAGGATTGAAAAAGTGTGGGAATTAGAGCTAAAACAATTTATCGGATTATTTTATGACTAATCATTTAAATAATCATCAACTAATTTAGTAATAGATTAATCGTTAACTGAAGTATAGAGACTCTAAAACGTGCATTTAGCTGACAATTTTGTAATTTTACAAAATAAAATAAAAAATGCATTTAATATTAAAAAAAATTTCTGTCAATATGCTCCACCCAGAAATAAAGTGGAAATGTTTTAGTTTAAACTAGTTTAATTCTGTAAAAATTTGTTAATAAGGAACCTTTTGCTATCCGATTATTAAATGTTTAATGTAAAAAAAAAAACAAAACAAAAAAAACAACGGGTGGGGATGAGATGCAACTTTGTCCCAATTTTAGATAGAGCGCCCGTCTGTCGCCCTGCCGACCCGGATGTCTGTCTGTGGCTTTGGGTTTATGGGTGTTTAAATGTTATCATAGTTTAATCATACCTTTGACACTATTCCTTTATCTGATGTTTCTAGCGGGAGCCGGTGTGATCTAAAACAATGTAAAGCATGGAAGCCTCTGAGAACAGCACCACATCAGGAGTTAGAACTGTTCTGGGACTGGTGTATGGAACTCTTCTGTTCTCATCTTGGATAATTTTCAACAACAGATTTTGTAGCCAAATTTAAAACTTTCAACAGCTATAACAAAAGCAACAGTCTTCCTTTTGTGTGACATGATTGGGGCGACTAACTTAGCTGCAGGCTGTACAATAGCTATGTTCTGTAGTTTTAGGATCATTGTGTTGCTAAATTGGGAAATCGTTTCACCCAGGCCATTCTAGCAACCACTGAAAATCTTTGTCAAGCTGTTTAATCGTAGTTCTTTATGTTAGACTGCTTCTCGTAGTTTTTGGATTTTCTGATGCATCTTTTATTCTGTTGCTTCTTTATAATGACTTATGACAATATTGCCTATAAATCTTTATTTCACAGCAATGGCTACTTTTTCTTTTTTTTTCAAGATGGCTTACTTCCTTATAACTGTAATAATGATGTTACTAAGAGCACAACTACAGTACATACGGTGTTGATGTTTTTCATGTATTGCTCTTTAAAAGTGCTCTCCCATTTGTTAATTGTTTACACTATTTTTGCTTTGTGTTGTGTGATTCTCTTGCACTGTGTAAACATACAAATGTGCCATATCTGTGATACTGTACCAGTTGACTGTATTATTAAAGCTTTTTTTGCTATAGTCAGCTTTTTTAAGCACAAAACTAAGTTATAAGGGTAATGTAAGTATTGCTGAGCCACTTTTACTGTGCTATGAACCTAAGGCAAAATACTAATATGCAGACTGTTTCTTCCCTTGTAATTTCAGTGGCTCCTTTAGACAGCCTTACAATATTATAAATAGATCCACTATTATAAGTAGATCCTGACAAATAAGAGAATGTAAAGGCGATTGTTTTAATGCTGCCATAGCTTACAGAATAAAGCTTTTTTACTTGTTATTTTTGTAACACGTAAAACTGTTTTGTTTCAGTCATTTCCAAAAGAGTTTAAGCTGAAAAAGTTGGTTAACTGTTTATTCTTATTGTCTTGTGTTGCTATAGAAACCTGGCAAATGATATTGTGCACAGTTAGTCATAGATTTAAATGAAAAAAAAGATGTGCATTGAAAATGTTTGTCTTGGGGACTTGTTGGGGCATATTTAAGCTGCAGGTATTGTGAGAATGTAAACAATTAAGCACGGGTGTCATCATTGCAGCCTGTCTGAGTCTTGGACTATCATATCTCTTTGGGTTGAGCCCCGAGTTCACTGAGTTGCTCTCTTCTCTTTATTTAACAAACATAATTTCAAAATGATTTAGGTCTGATGACTGAAGGCAGATTAGTACCGTAATAAAAATTTAGGGTTTGTTACCCAATCTGATGATTTCGCCATATGTTTTAGATATTTATCCTTATGAGACACATCCTGTATCACACTGAACATAATTTTTCCAGGGCTCCAAATAGTTGCACTGTTCCAACCATTTCCATATTTAAGAGTGTATTTTAGAATCAACTGGGATTTACTGCACCTCAGCCACCAAAGTCCACATGAAATCACAGAACAGGGTCAGTAAAACTGTGGCCTAGAGGTTTTCTTAGCTTAATGCAATGGATCTCCATGCACAAGCATCTGCATTCAAGCCTTAGACTGCCTGCTGCCACTAGTGTTTAGAGAGGGGAAGTCTCTCGGCATCCTATTGGACTCAACATCTGTACTGCTCTAAAACCCACCTGGTTCACATGGAAAGATCCAGGTTCTGCCACTTTGGGCTTACTTTACTAATTGGAACAGTAATAAGGCTCACATTTCTAATTCATTTTATCCACTGAGATGTGAAAATCAAGCCTGACCCAGTTTCTTTTTAACAACTGATTGTGTAAGAAATGCTGATCTTAATGCAGTTTAGTTGTGTTAGCAGTTCATCTGATTAGGATTGTAAAGCTGTCTTGAATAACACTGGTTGTTTGGTAAACAGTATATATAAATGGTGTTTATTGTTCGTTTGCAGTGAGATAAATAATATGCTCATGTAGAGCTAAAACCCTTTACCAAAAAATGTAGGGTAGGAACAAACGACTCAGGGACAAATTTTTTCTTTGGCAAATCCACTTAACAACCAGGAATCCTCTGGAGACCTGAAAAGAAAAAAAAACTGTTCAGTAATTAATTTTTTACATATATACTGCTCAAAAAACTAAGGGAACACTCAAATAACACATCCTAAAAATTTAAATCAATAAAATATTCTCATTGAATACTTTTTTCTGTAAGAAATTGAAGGTGCTGACCATAGGCGGATCTACTGCGGTGGCATAGGGTGGCAAATGCCACCCTAAATGACAGCCTTGCCACCCCAGTTGGCGGTAGGGGTGGCAAGGCTTATAAATTATGGATAATTTGAGAATTACACTGCTGATTTCCTGCAATGAATGCAGCACGAGATGACGCGAGAGCGACTGAGACTGATTTGTTTTGAAAACCGAATGGGGCAAAAGCGAGGGAGCCAGGGGTCATGGGGAGAGGAGACACAGGATGAAACAGGTAAAAACTGATTAACTATCTATTGAGAAGTTAAATCATAATGAAAGCACAATGTTGCTTGCATAGCTACAATGTTGATTTTGAGATGATAAAAATCAGGTTGCAGAACGTTATTTCTCTAAGTATGATGTTAGTTAGGCCTGATGTCTTAGGCTCATAAAGACATATTTGTAGTCAACTATGACAGAAAAGAGACTATCAAGTTTGGTTGTACTCAAATCAAAGCGCACAAAAGCATTGGATCTAATGCATACTATTCTCACCAAACTGTGATTAAATTCAGTGTAAACAAATGCCATAGGCTATGTTGCCACCCCTCAAAAATTCCTGCCCCCTCTCGCCACCCCATAAATATTTTTCTAGATCTGACCCTGGTGCTGAAAATAAAATTACACAAAAATAATCAATAGGAATCAAATTTATTAACCAATGGAGGCCTGGGTTTGGAGTCACACACAAAGAAAAACACTACAGGCTGATTCAACTTTGATGTAATGTTGTTAAAACAGGTTAAAAAAAACAAACAAGGATCAGTATTGTGTGTGGCCTCCATATGCCTGTATGACCTTCCTATAATGCCTGGGCATGCTCCCGATGAGATGGCAGAGAAGCTCCTTAGACTTCCTCCCAGACCTGCACTAAAGCATCTGCCAACTCCTGGACAGTGTGTGGTGCAACGTGACATTTGTGGATGGATGGGACAGACGGCCCAGTCCATAGCTTCTGCCAAATACTTGTGTTTATTTTCAGTAGTGTTTATTGTTTGCATAATTAGATACAATAATATTGTCTTATTATTAACTAATAAGGGAACCATTATGTTGGTGGTCCTTTGTGGCTATTTTATTCAGTGAATGATTTATCACTCAGGTAAGATAATGAAACTGTCTTGTATGGATGGGGAGTTATTACATTTGCAATATAATTGCAATTC